AATAATAATAATAATAATAACAACAACAACAACAATAATAATAATAATAATAATAATAATAATAATAATTAATAATAATGATAATAATAATGTAACAATGAATGTGGGCTGTGTTTACCGTACGTGTACTCCACAGAGAACACTTGCAGTAGTACCTCAGTACCAGGTACGTGTTCCGTTTCCACGGTTCCGTCTCTGACTTCCGTCCCAGAGCGACAGCTTCCTGTTCGCCGCCGCCGCGGTTCTTGAAGTGGTCCTTAATCAGTGAGGTTATTGTTCCAGACGTCTGGACGTCGGCCACGCTGCCATCCTGCTCTAATGAGATGAGATATCTGTGTTCACCGTGTCGCTGCTCTTGTTTACGATGTTGGGACATTTTGTTCTTAGCTGGTATTTTTTTTTTCTCTTCGCTCTGAGCCGTCAAAAAGTCGCCGTCGTTGTGGTTACGATCTGAATTAGTGCTGCTTTTATTGGCCGTATAAAACACTTCCTGTGGCTTTGTATCGACTAAGTGGAGAGGAGTGGAGATGTACACACACACACACACACACACACACACACACACACACTTGTCCTATCGCGGCTCGTTTATCCGTAACTTAGCTTTTGGCTGTTTTTATTTTAAATATTTATTTAAATAACACTTTTAGAACCAGATTTGTTTGATCTGCTAATATGTAGCAACAAGCAAACGTAGCTTACGTCTAACATGCTAACTGAGCTTTAACAGTACATTAGGCTAAATTATTTTAGCTGTTTCTGTTATTTTAAGCTGTACTCTGGCTAAACGTTAGCTGGACTCTGTTAAATGTCAGTTGTTTTAATGACCAGTGTCATTAGCTGAGATACCGGCTACATGCTAACATTTAGCTACATTTTGGGAGTATTGTTAAGCTATTAACCTTTAGCACTTATTGGTCCATTTGTCAGATATTTTCATAAATCCAGTACTGCGGTACATTCTGCTTATGTTTAGCTAAATTTAGCATTGTTGGCTAACTTTTAGTCATTTGTACAACGTTGAAATGACTGAGTCGACCAGGTCTGAGTGACACAACAGTCTAACAGTTATATTTACAGTTTAATTTAATTTAATCCAGGCCCTGAATTAACAACATATTCTTGTTCTATTTTTTTCATCCTATTTTGTCGTTTGCGATCGTTCATTTTGTATCCGTCGCTGCCGTGACCTCGCCGACTCTTTCTCTTTTTTTTAACATCTCCTCTGATAAACTTTTTAACTGTGATCTTTAGGAGATGCTGCGTCAGTGTTGCTGCAAATCACTCCGTCTTCGCACGCGTCATAAAACGCGGCGGTTTATGACCAGTCAGCGTTAATGATGTCAAGGCCGGATTGTTTGGACAATTAGCAGAGAAACGTAATTTACGCCGGGTTGCCCACGATCTCGGAGTTAGGGCGGCGTGGAGGTGAGCCGGGTCACGCGGCGGCCCATAAACCATGTCGCAGTGGAAGATAATGAAGCCGTTGTTGTTCGTCTCAGCTGTGACTGCAGCAGCAGCAGCAGCAGCAGCAGCAGCAGCAATATGCTGAGTAACGACCAAGACTTGGCACCGGACGCAAACCAAATTAAAATGTTTCTCAGGACCTCAGGAGGCTGTGGCGCTGAGGCCAATGCTAATCTCTTCCTTGAAATCCTTGAATGTCTTGAATTTTAAAGTTGTTTCAGGCCGTAAGAACACATCAAAGGACAAAACGTTTAGATCAAAGTCAAACAGACGTCAAACTTTGTTTTGAAAAAAAGAGTTCGTGTTAGCTAACATCGTTAGCTCCAGCCTGAAATAACGACGGCTTTAATAACGACGACCAAATGGAGAAGTGAAATAAAAACACCAACTATCCTCAGTCCCGGTCACGTGAACGAACGTTAGCTACAGTTTTACACCAATAAAAACTGTAACTAAATGATTAAAATGACACCTGTTTTATTAAAGAGATCAAACTCCCAGAATCCTTCAGTAAACACACGTTAACAAAAGTGAATGTCAATAAAAAATGCTCAAAAGTGATGGAAAAAACCCCCAAACTAATTTAACCTTAAATTGGACGTTGACAGAAATAAATCACAGAGAGTTCATTGGACTTTACTTCAAACAAACGTTAGCCTTAAATTAGGTAAAAATATTTACTTTACTGTTAAAGAAAAGTCAAACTAAAGAAGTCGAGTAGAACAAAACTGAATGGCATTTTATTTTTATTTTAAATCTTCACCTGCGTCTTCACCGTCTTCTTGACTCCCTTGACATTTTTTTTTTATCGTCACGCGTCCGTTTTTCTCGTGGCGCCTCGATGCTATCACGCCTGCTGTGGCGCGATATTAATGGAGGAGAAGAAGAAAAGAATGAGCTGAGAGACTCTGAAACGCTCCATAAATCTGAGGAGCGCAGCCCACTGCAGTGACCTCTGGGCCTTCCTCACCACAGAGGTCAGAGGTCACACTACATGGAGTTTTACAGTAAAACACACTTTATTATATTATTGTTAAGTTATTATTTTTATTTTTTTTTCAAAGTCACGTCAACCTACTGTATATCAGTTTAAACATGAAGTAGGATGAGGTTCAAACTGTGGCCTGCAGGCTCTGTGTGGCCCAGGACTAGTGGTTTTAGGATCCTTGGCTAATCGGTTTTTAAATCACTCTTTTCTTCAGAATGACCTTTAGCGACAGTTAGCTGAACTAGAGGTTATGTCTTGATTACATTTAAACTTCGTGACCTTTAACCTCTCAGTAGCTAATTAAATCCCGTTGGTCCTTTTTTTTTGCGGTTGGCAAACAAGCGTCGTCCGATTGTACAGTGTATTTTTGAGACGTTACTAATTCTGTTTGTCGTCGTCGTCGTCGGCCCGACTTTACGAACCGTCTCACTTCCTGCATTTTTGGACAAAACACGTCTGACAGTGAACGCGGTGTGGAATTATGTGGAGCGTGACGCATTGATGCCTCGTCCTCTGGCTACGGCCAGGAGGGAAATGCATAAAAAGTCATTTTCCTCCAGACTGCGAACATCTGTCTTCTTCATGCTCCGGCGTTTTCTGTAGTTCTCAGGTTATTGTTGAACCAAATCTTTCATTTATGTTCACAGAGAAGCTCGTAAATTAAAAGTTTTTTATTTTTTTTTTGTTCTAAAATGTCCAGGAAAGTTGTACTCTCTCTGAAGAGTATTTCTGATTTCCTGTTAGTATAAAAGTACATGACTGTGGTGATTCAACACTTAGGTTGAAGTTCTTTTTCCTGTGTTTTACCAGCGAAAAACAAACTTGTTAAAATGCACAAACACAAAACCTAAAGCGATGTGAAGATAAAAAAAAAAAAAAAACGAAGTTAATAATACAGAAAAATAAAGAAAATCTGAGTTAAATTATTGATATTATCCAATAAAAAGACCTGAAGCTGTTGTTGTTACCAGAACAATATAAAATATAGAATATATTACAATATTTATATGGTTCATTTTCCAGTGAATGTTCCAGAAATATTCACTTATTTATTTATTTACATCATGATGCGTTTGAGTGAAACGTGTAATTGATCAGTTTTCATGCTTCCTGTCACACTCTGGATCAAACACAGGGACGAGTGTGTGTCGTGTTGTTCTGTCGTGTTTTATCTCGGTTCCTTCATGGAGTGAAATAGAGATTGGCTTAAAAAAAAACAGTGGGAAAAACATCAAAACATTTTTCTGTTTCATGGTCTGATATTAACGTTTGGGAAACGGAACCAAAATAAGAGTTTTTAAACGTTACGTTTTCAAAGTGTCTGATGTGAGAAGTGTTGGTCCAGAAGGGTTTTTTTTCATGTTCACACTTGGAAAAATGTGCTGAAGGTTTTTTTTTCATGTTCACACTTGGAAAAACAAACAAACAAACAAAGAAAAACAGAACGCTGCATGAACACATCCATTCATGTTTTGATGCCTGCAGAGGTCCAGCTGTTTCCTGTTTGAACCGAGGGACTTCTGATCTGATTGGTTCAGTTGGTTTTAATTGGTTGTGTCTCTGCAGATCTTTGTGGGCGAGGTCTCCATGTACGTGATGAAGACCACCAGGGAAGCCCTCCTGGTCCAGGAGAAAACCATCGTCACTGGAGAATGCTGTTTCCTCAACCCCCTCGTCCGCCGCGTCGTACGCTTCATAGGTCGCTTTTCTTCTTCTTCTTCTTCTTAGCTTGAATGCTAATGTTGTCTATGCTGATGTTGTCTATGCTAATGTTGTCTATGCTAATGTTGTCTTTGCTAATGTTGTCTTTAAAAGATCTGAAAAATGATTGAAAAGGTTGTTTTTTTTTCAATCAATCAAAATTTCGGCAATTTTCAATTTTTTTGTATATATTTATATATATATGAATGTATATATGTATATATTTTTATATACAAAACCTTTTGCCTTTTATCATTGACCCCCCCCTCCCCCC